CACTATATTTGTCGTGGCCACCATGCACCATACCATCACTATACTTGTCGTGGCCACCATGCACCATACCATCACTATACTTATCGTAGCCACCATACACCATGCCATCACTATATTTGTCGTGGCCACCATGCACCAAACCATCACTATACTTGTCGTGGCCACCATGCACCATACCATCACTATACTTATCGTGGCCACCATACACCATACCATCACTATACTTGTAGCCACCATACACCATACCATCACTATACAGTACTTGTCGTAGCCATTATACACCATACCATCACTATACTTGTCGTAGCCACTATACACCATACCGTCACTATACTTGTCGTAGTCACCATACACCATACCATCACTATACATTACTTGTCGTGGCCACTATACACCATACCATCACTATACTTGTCGTGGCCACCATACACCATACCAACACTATACTTGTCGTGGCCACCATACACCATACCATCACTATACTTGACGTAGCCACCATACACTATACCATCACTATACTTGTCGTAGCCACCATACACCATACCATCACTATACAGTACTTGTCGTGGCCACCATACACCATACCATCACTATACTTGTCGTGGCCACCATACACCATACCATATCTATACTCGTCGTAGCCACCATACACCATACCATCACCATACAGTACTTGTCGTGGCCACCATACACCATACCATCACTATACTTGTCGTGGCCACCATACACCATACCATCACTATACTTGTCGTAGCCACCATACTCCATACCATCACTATACTTGTCGTGGCCACCATACATCATACCATCACTATACTTGTCGTGGCCACCATACACCATACCATCACTATACTTGTCGTGGCCACCATACACCATACCATCACTATACTTGTCGTAACCACCATACTCCATACCATCACTATACTTGTCGTAACCACCAGACACCATACCATCACTATACTTGTCGTAACCACCATACTCCATACCATCACTATACTTGTCGTAACCACCATACACCATACCATCACTATACTTGTCGCAGCCACCATACTCTATACCATCACTATACTTGTCGTAACCACCATACTCTATACCATCACTATACTTGTCGTAACCACCAGACACCATACCATCACTATACTTGTCGTAACCACCATACACCATACCATCATTATACTTGTCGTGGCCACCATACACCATACCATCACTATACTCGTCGTAGCCACCATACACCATACCATCACTATACTTGTCGTGGCCACCATACATCATACCATCACTATACTTGTCGTGGCCACCATACACCATACCATCACTATACTTGTCGTGGCCACCATACACCATACCATCACTATACTTGTCGTAACCACCATACTCCATACCATCACTATACTTGTCGTAACCACCAGACACCATACCATCACTATACTCGTCGTAACCACCATACACCATACCATTACTTGACTGTTCCTCCCTTGCGTTTTAAGTATCCCTTAGAGACATATTTATAATATCAGCGTCATAATTGTCTGTTCTAGGGACATACTCGTTGCGTTATAAGTATCCTCTACTCTAGTGAATTATTTATAATAACAGCTTCAAAATTGTATCCTCTATTGATATATTCGTCATTGCGTTATAAGTATTCTCAAGTGATTTATTCGTCGACATTTTCTTTGCAAGTATTTTCTAGTATTCTTAATCCTTTACCTTTTAAGTAACCTTTGGTGACATATTCATCGTCCCTCGTCCCCATAGCATCCCTTATGGTGACATAATTATCATCTATCACATCGTAATATCTTTTAGTGATACGATCATCCCTCAAGTTGTAAATATCCGTTAGTGATACATTCAATGTCTCATCCAATGGTGATATCTCTGTTAGCTCTATGTTACAATACTTGTATCTGGTGACATACTCCTTGTCTCTGGAGCACACGTCCTACCGGCTTACTGACACCTCTGTTGTAATGAACTAGTTAAATGTCTTGGCTCTCAGCATATTCTAGATCATTTATATATCCTCTAGCATTATTTAACGATTACTTTGAAATAATTGTATGGCTTTATAAGCAAAATTGTAATAAAAATTAATGAAAAGTCAGCTGAACTCTCGTGCTAGTGTTCCAATGTGGAGGGGCCTAATATTAGGCATGATCTCACACTGCCTACACCCCATCTCTCCTCCTCTCTCTCTCTCTCTCTCCCTCTCTCTTTCTCCCTCATACACACAACACACATCTTTCTCATTCTCCAACGATATAAACACATTCTCACTGTCTTATTTGATACATCTACCTCTATCCTATCCCATTCTCTATCTCCTGTCTCGCCTCGCTTGTTGACTGTAGTACATCACATAGTTAAATAACCATTCACAATAAAATCGACAATCGAAAATGACTTTATAGGCTTCTAGACCTAGCCATACTACTTAATAGCAACTACTAATTACTGAAAACCAACACTTTTTCAGAACCATTCTCACATGAAGGGGAAGAGGTTAAATTGTCTTGAGTAATAAAGTATCCTAATGTTGTAAAAACCATAGGCCTACATCTCAATCGCATATATATCTTTCTGAGGTTACATATTTCTTAGGTTAAGAGGTTCTTAGGTTAGATCTTTATTGTAGTATGGGCAACCAAACTGAAATTTTATATTGCAAAAACACAATTATCCTATGTTTGCATGTACACACAAAATAAAGTGATGGGAAACACTTCTTTCCCGATTAAATTCATTTGTTTACTGAAGTGTGTAAAAGTACAAATATAATTACAATAACAGGACATAAAAAACTGATAAGTTTCAATTAGTCAAGAATCCTTGCCCTTATGATAACCCCAGTCATGAGCGCATCTACTGACTGAGTCCACCATTTACTGTTTGTATCAATAGCTTTGTGATCTTGATATGTGGGCTATGGGCTTACAATCGTGATATGAATGCATATCCATTATAGAGGAATGAATCATTAATTAATATTCAATCATTGTAATATTCTGGTAGTGTTGTCAATCATTCTTTTAATGGAGATGTAGATATATTTATGTACACATTTTTACCCTGGCCTCAATATGTTAGATATGTATAATAATTATTATGTCACAATAATATACAGAAACATGTCTATCTCAAAAATTAGAGATATGTCTCTAAACACTTGCTCTTAGTGGCCAATCTAATGTTGATTAGCCTAAGTCTCCTTCACACCTCTCTGTGATGAACGTCTTTTGTTATTTTATTGTTGCTGTAAATTTAAGATGAGAGCATCACGTGGTTCTTTAATAAATTTAAAAAAATATAAATAAATAATTAAATGGGATTGAGTTAAGTGTCCCAAAATTTTAACAGAGGATAAATATCTAACATTTTTCAATTGGATTTAAGCTTTTCTCGTTGTTTGTATCTAAGCAGGTTATATAGAGTAATGTGATCTCAAATACTGGGAGTTGCCTGAGCTAGGTGGAAGTTTGTACACACGGATGTACCAGTAGTATTGTCAATTCACGTACTGGGAGTTGCCTGAGCTAGGTGGAAGTTTGTACACACAGATGTAACAGTAGTATTGTCAATTCACATACTGGGAGTTGCCTGAGTTAGGTGGAAGTTTGTACACACGGATGTACCAGTAGTATTGTCAATTCACGTACTGGGAGTTGCCTGAGCTAGGTGGAAGTTTGTACACACAGATGTAACAGTAGTATTGTCAATTCACATACTGGGAGTTGCCTGAGCTAGGTGGAAGTTTGTACACACGGATGTACCAGTAGTATTGTCAATTCACGTACTGGGAGTTGCCTGAGCTAGGTGGAAGTTTGTACACACAGATGTAACAGTAGTATTGTCAATTCACGTACTGGGAGTTGCCTGAGCTAGGTGGAAGTTTGTACACACAGATGTAACAGTAGTATTGTCAATTCACGTACTGGGAGTTGCCTGAGCTAGGTGGAAGTTTGTACACACAGATGTAACAGTAGTATTGTCAATTCACATACTGGGAGTTGCCTGAGCTAGGTGGAAGTTTGTACACACAGATGTAACAGTAGTATTGTCAATTCACGTACTGGGAGTTGCCTGAGCTAGGTGGAAGTTTGTACACACAGATGTAACAGTAGTATTGTCAATTCACGTACTGGGAGTTGCCTGAGCTAGGTGGAAGTTTGTACACACAGATGTAACAGTAGTATTGTCAATTCACATACTGGGAGTTGCCTGAGCTAGGTGGAAGTTTGTACACACAGATGTAACAGTAGTATTGTCAATTCACATACTGGGAGTTGCCTGAGCTAGGTGGAAGTTTGTACACACAGATGTAACAGTAGTATTGTCAATTCACGTACTGGGAGTTGCCTGAGCTAGGTGGAAGTTTGTACACACAGATGTAACAGTAGTATTGTCAATTCACATACTGGGAGTTGCCTGAGCTAGGTGGAAGTTTGTACACACAGATGTAACAGTAGTATTGTCAATTCACGTACTGGGAGTTGCCTGAGCTAGGTGGAAGTTTGTACACACAGATGTAACAGTAGTATTGTCAATTCACATACTGGGAGTTGCCTGAGCTAGGTGGAAGTTTGTACACACAGATGTAACAGTAGTATTGTCAATTCACATACTGGGAGTTGCCTGAGCTAGGTGGAAGTTTGTACACACAGATGTAACAGTAGTATTGTCAATTCACATACTGGGAGTTGCCTGAGCTAGGTGGAAGTTTGTACACACGGATGTACCAGTAGTATTGTCAATTCACGTACTGGGAGTTGCCTGAGCTAGGTGGAAGTTTGTACACACAGATGTAACAGTAGTATTGTCAATTCACATACTGGGAGTTGCCTGAGCTAGGTGGAAGTTTGTACACACAGATGTAACAGTAGTATTGTCAATTCACATACTGGGAGTTGCCTGAGCTAGGTGGAAGTTTGTACACACAGATGTACCAGTATTGTTGTCCAATCATGTGGAGAGTCATCACAGTTTGCTCTATTTTGCAGATGAACCAGTGGGGGTAGAGTGGTGTAGACTCGCGTACTGGGAGCTGTCTAAGAGAGTGGGACGCCAGTATGCAGTCATCACAGCGGCCATCAACGTCTTCTGGAACATCCCTCAGGGCACAGGTCTGTGTCTAGAGTCTCTGGCAGGGCACAACTTCTCCCCACCCCCCGACGCGGTGCGCCGTGCTCGAGAAAAAATTGGCAGAGGTAATAATAAGAAATCTTTGTTAAGTAGTGATCTCCATACTCATAAAGGTGCAATTTACCCCAACTGCCGAACCATCATATTAGATTGCCATTGTCATTTAACTGCTCTGTGTCTTTAACAAATGAAGTGATCAAATATGTAGTAAACCCATTATAAAACCTAGAGTTTTTTTAAACTGTTTATACTGATATTTTTTAGTTGACTACTTAATATAAAATGTATTGGAGAATGATATGACAGTTGTAATTGTATGACAATTAGAAATTGATGTCTCACAAACTCATAACCTGTGTATTGATGTTGTGTCAGAGGTACTTTGCATGATTAGGAGAACATGTACCTGGTAACTTGATGCTCTTGAAAGCAAGGTTCATTGTTGATGAGACTCAGCAATCAATAGCCATTCATTCTTCAGTGACTTCAGCTGAACACCTCATGAAGGACATGCTGGTGGTTCAATATTTACACGTGAATTGTCTTCATACTTGAGATAAACACTCGATTTACATGCTTGACAGATTGAACAAGTTAAAGAATGTTTGGTATCAAGGTGAAAAATGCACTAAATTATTTATCTGTGCCACTTGAAACCAAGGAAAGTAAAGTGGCTCTTACTCTGTCTGTTAATATTTCTATTAAATATTTATACCTTAGTAGATGCATCCTAAATAATCCTAAAATAATTAAACGAGTTATGGATTGGGCTTAAACAATTTATTTTGATATTTTATATTTGGATTATAATTGAAATACATGACAAGTATATTTACTGATTGGTTGTGTTTTTGTTGTTCAGGCTTGACTTTGAGTCGAGAGCCTGATGGAGTTTGGGCGTACAATCGCAGCGAAGCTCCGATCTTCGTTAACTCGCCCTCATTGGACGACCCAGACTCCCGAACACATCTAGTCTACCGCGTGCCCCCTGGTCACTGTCTGAACATCTTCGTACCTGGAGCACCCCCCCGTACGTGGACCCCCCACCCCCCCACGGGACCCATAGACCAGGACTCTGTTCGCATCAGCTTCGCCAAAGGCTGGGGCCCGAAATACTCGAGGCAGGAAGTGACCGCTTGTCCAACGTGGCTAGAGGTTCTACTGGCGCCTTGCAGATGATAGAACTCTGCGGACAGTCAATTCCTCAACATTCTAATTCTAATGCGAAGGCACTTGTCAGAATAGTGGGTTTGACTCATGTCCATTCTATTGTGAAAAGAATATGCTTAAATTGTCAAAAATAACAATATTTATTCTACAACAACGTCATATTTTTATGACATTAATTATTGTAGACTACCAAATTCAAAATTCTTACATTCCTAGTTAGATTGAATTTGACGCATTTATATAAAATTGTTGTTATTTACATGCTCCCAATTAGAAAAGGGACAGTTTAGTGAGTTCTACATTGTTTGGTATTTTAACAGTGATTGAAACATACTTGACCATAAACTGCTTTAACAGATAGAATGGAAGGTGTCAGTCAGCCCACTATTCCTATTGTAGGAGGGTTGTACTTGTTTACAGTTTTAAGTAAACAACGTGACAACCTTATCTGTGTTGGTAATAAGCTTTAATTATTTTATCCATGAAAAGTTTTATTTAGTTTTAACAGTTTAAGTGTTGGGGAATACTATCATCTCTGATAACAAGTCTAAATTCAATCAAATTAGCTTTAGTGGCTGTGCCATAATTGTAATTCATGAAGGGTCAAAACAACATTTGCAGTGATGGAAAACATTACTATTTAATAGTAATGATTGTTGTTCCTACGTAGTTTCAAATCAATTTTGGTTAAATGTTCGGTAATTAAAAAAAAAACCAGTATTAAGTGGGAATACAAATGTTTTTTGAAGAAACTAAACTATACAACTTCAATGAGTGAGTTTATTCTGATTTGTGAGCAATTGTTTTGTAAAAACACAAATTAAAAAAAAATTACACCTGTAAGTTTATAATAATTGACATTTTAAATATATTTTTTTAAACACTGACAAGTTGTTTCGAAACTTCAGGTTGTTGGCTACATCTGTGCAATAGGTTTGCTCCTGTCTGCATTCCATTTTCCCAACAAATTTTGGCTTAGACCAGTATTATACATTAAAAAAAAAATACTCGTTCATTGAAAAACTACATTTTCATGCTTACATGAGAGGCTTTCTTACAATAGCTCTTGGTTATAAATAAATAAACATTAAATTATAGACCCCTACCTTCAGCAATATGGAAGTGCTCCTGAACGCCAGGTAAAATGCAGATGTTCAGGGACACTCCCAAATTGCTGAAGGCATATAAGGTTTCCAATCATATGTTTTATTTATTTCATGAAAATGTAATGCTTTATTATTAGCTTAAATTGCTGAAATTGTAGTATTAAAATTATATATCGCGTTGCCTTTCAAATCAATGCATTAAACAAATAATATTATGAAAGATTTCAAAACTTTAACATTTACAAATTGTCTTAAAATGCCCCCTATTAAAGGCTCTATTTAAGGCCCTCTATTATAATCAATTGGTTCAGGAACCAAAATTAAATGAAACACAGCTGTTCCCAGCCCTTTGGAGTTTGACTTTGACAAGACTGTGTTGTGACAGATGTTATTTTGTTGACTGTGCCTTGTGGGTAGTGGACGGTGGTGAGAGAGCGCCCAATGTTACCATTAGCCCCGCAGCGCCCTGATGTTGGCGCTCGGCGCTCTGCGCTCACTGCTCGCCAGTCGCCACTTGCTGCGCTTAGGGTATTGTTACGGCCTCGGCCTATTTAGACTTAGTTGATGCCTTTTGGAATCTGACTTTTTTAAATCCGGGGTCCATTCCATTGTTAATGGGGGTTAAAGTATAAAAGTTCCTTAAAACTAGTGGATATGAATGTTGAATTTAAATTATTTAGAATATGTGTTAAAGACTCCTTATATCTTTTTTAGCTTTTGACAAATTTTTTTATTTAAGTTTAAGTATGAGAAAAGTTTTTGATTTCGCAGTAAGAGTAAATGACGGAGTATGGTAAATAATGTAGGTTTTATTGAGTGTTTATTACCAGTGTTCTGATGGTATGGATTGATTTGGCATCGGTTCTATTGAAATGAAATTTCAAAAGTATCAACTTTCCAATTGTGTAAAGTTACAAAAAGTAGTAGGCCTATGGTTTGATATTGTTTGTATGGATGTTTTAAGTTTTTAAAACTTAATCATGTTTTGATATTTCAAGAGTAAAATTGTTGGTTAAAAACTACAGAAAAAACGTGTTACATAAAGAGGCATGAAAGAATTTATTTTATATTTAAATGTTTAGTTTGCCATTTTGTCCATTAAATTTTGAATGTATGTAATTGTTTTTTTATTGAGGTTATGTACATACAGGAACAATGTCCTACAATTTATGTAGAAACAAATTTTATACTTCGAACACCGACTGTGCCTAATATATTTGTACTTTAGAAATTCTAAATATTTTACAGCTTTGGCTGGTATTCGATTATCATTTTTGTAATATTTATGTAAAATGTAATCTGCCATAAATGTAACATTTTTATGAATTTTTATATAGCCTATTATTAAATTTTTGTGACACCAAGTGAAATTTGTAAGTTACCAAGGTGTTAAATTATAATTTTATATAATACTTTTGATTTGTGATCAAAGAAGCTTTGTTCAGATTCCAAAAAGCAAATTTTGGCTGAAAACTTGGCTGTAGAACGAGACACTAGCTATACAAGTCTGCCTTACCTCACCACCTCGGAGCTTATAAAATTATTAAATTACAATAATATATAAATAGTTAAAATATAGTAGTATATAATTAATTATATAACATATATTGTACAAATATTTGTATATAGCGTAAATTTTCAAGTTATATTAAATGACTGCGATATTTCCGATTTAAGCCATTCGTACAATGTACTTAAATGTTTTTTGTATGTTTAAAGATTTTTACCAAAACCTTTACTGATTCTTGGATCTTGTTTAAATTTATTGTTCTCTATTATAATAGGCCTTCCTTACAGTAACATACGGTTCTCCTGTCTTAACAATATAAATCATCTAACTATTCTAATACAATTGTTGTATTTTGTGAATAAATTGTTGAAATTATTTTTGAATCTTTTGTCTTGATTTTTACCCAAATATTCACAAAGTCTCATAACACAGTTCATATATTTTCTCTGAAATATATGAATATTGCCACAACAAACTTAGCATCAAGCCAAATGATTCAGATGACTACTGCACTGGCTTCGAAGATCAGGGTAATCTGAAGAGTTGAAACACTGTGTGAACATTATCAGGGATTCTACTTACAATCACAAGTAGGTTATATCATTTTACCAACTCAACTAAAGTAGGTACCTGAAAACAGAAAGGGCGACTTTCATTTCATTCATTTATTTATACAAACATATTTACAATGAATTCTCTAAATTCTCATGACATTTTCTTAGGGTATTCTTGTCTAGAACTTAAAAGTAGGCCTACTCAGAGTGTACTAGGTTAATACTTGGGTTTGGTGGTTAGGGCATGTGATAATCTTCTTGTTAACAATTCTGCAACAAAATTAGTACTGTGATTGTGATTGGTTAGCTTGTTACATTTTTAGTTGTCGTAATGGAACTTAAAATAAAGTTTAATAGTTACCTAACTATTACAACATTACCAGATTCAACTAATAGACAATAGACAAATTCTTTATTAAAATATTCCTAGACAACATTCATACGTCAGGTGCATTAACTAAGAAAAAGTATTTAAATTTGGATAAAATCCAACTTTTCCAAGTCTTTAATTTGTCTTCCATTGAAATCCCTTACATATTTCAGTTACAAGCCATCATCAAGAATAAAGAATTTAACGTCAACGACGAAGTTAAATTGTTACTACTATAACTGCGTCTTATAATTGCAGTGATAAACATTCAATCTGTTATAGGTCTTTTGCAGTAAAATCAAAGACGATACAAGAAGAGGAGAGAAATGCAGTTGTGAGGAGTTGAAAAACTGTGGCATTACTATTGCAGCATGTGTAAACAAAGATTAATATCGTCAAGTGAGATGCCTGAAACCTTGCATGTATTTCTGAGTACAATCAGAAACAGGGAAAGGGGTTGTCTTAATGCACCTGTGACAGTGTAGTCAGGTCACTAAGGATGAGGCAGAGCGGCTGCTCCAGGGCTCATGCTGCAACGTTTTACTCTCTCTAAAATTAAGTAAAGGTTTTGTTGGTTAAGTAAAAATAATAATGTATTGCATATCTAAAATATCTGTCTAACTACCCACACAATATGTACAATTATTTATCAATTAAAAATCCTACAAACAAGATTCTTGTTCATATGAGATAGTAGTGTCCAAAAGTATGCAAATGCATTATTTAATAGCGACAGAGCCTCAGCTCACCAGTAAAATGAAGTGATAACCAAAATTATAATTTTGGACTTAAACTCAATTTTTCAGAGTGTAAGAGATTACAAGTTTTCTATGTAAAAAGTTTAAAACGGCAATATGTGTATAAAACCCTGCAATCATTTCTTGGACCCACTCTCCCCAAGGTTATTCCATCCCCTTAACTCCGTGGTTATCATTCTTATTTTCTCCAGACCTTGCACGGCTCAGATGCCACATGAAAACAGCCATGCGAAGCCATCTATCCGTGCAAGGTGGGCTCAACCCCCTCCACCCATGTTAACCAAATACAGTATATAAAACAATTATCACACCAGTTCTCCTGAATGGATCATGGAAGGAAAATTTGACTCTGAATAGAGTAAAATAATATGTTTTATAATAGAGTATTGAGAAATGTATACGAACCATCCTAAGAGGAAAAGCAATGGAGATTGATGCACAATTGGGAACTGAGAGAGTTATTTAAAGATACAGATATTGTAGCTGAGGTATGGAGTAGAAGGATGAGATGGGCAGGAAATGTCATTAGAAAAGAAGGTTAATTCTGGAGAGAAAACCAGAATGCAGAAGACCAAAGCTGAGATGGTTGGATTAAGTGGAAAAGGAGACTGGTAAGAAAAAATGAAGAAGCAATAGATAGAGATAAATGGAGGCATTGTGTTGGGGGAACCAGTTGCCACAGCAGTAATTTTTCAAACAATTTTAATAACGATGCAAAAAACAATTAATTGAGAAAGCAAATTTAGGTATAAAAATGCATAAATTCATAATTTTGTACCTACATTTTAAATATTTCCCCACCCCCTCTACATTTGGGTTTATTCTGTAAACCCCAGGCCCCCCTAATACAAAAGTTAGATGGTACTTGATCGTTCACAGGTAGGGTCCGATAATCGAGACTATTCTGAAAGCCTAGTCCACACATGGGTTCTGAGTCAGCAGATTGTGTGCCGACTGTGCGCGGACAGTCCGTGGACAGTTGACAGACAGTCGGCCGATCGTCTGCCGACAGTCTGTCAACACAGTTTTAGAGGTTCGCCGGGATTTTATCCCCCTGGAATTTTACCCTCTGGGCAAAGCTGACTTCACTATGACGTAGTAACCTGAGTGCTCAAAAGTTTGTTCGCGGGCGGAATATTACCCCCACGGATTTGGTAGTCTAATGAAAATAGACAGAGCGTGATTAATTAGATTAGCAATAAAAACCGGAATTTTACCCCGTATCCTAGCGTGTATAACTAGCGTTTAGACAACTGAAGATGTACGGGCCGGATTTTTACCTTCGGAATTTTACCCCCTATCAGACCTTCAGATTAGGTGAAGGATTTAGGAACTTTACGAGATTGACTTCTAAAGATATTGAAGTTTTGCTAGGCTTTGATGAGCCTAAGATTTCAAACTTGAAGAGATGCACAATTCAATAAAATGTCATATATTAATATAAATTATTAAAAAAAATTCCAAAACTTTCAAGAAACTGAATCTAGCTCTTTTAATACCGCCCAAAAATCGTAATATTACCGCTTTGCAGTCCAACTAAATGGACTGAATGTTGAACACCTTCGGCTTGTATCCAGTCTCCTGTCTCCAGACACGTCCACACATGCAGACTTGAGACAAAAGTTTTGTCTCTTGTCTCTGTGTTTCCCATTCGAAAGGGAAACAGAACCCACTGTATTTTGTATCCAGAAACACTGAAATTTGTCTGCCGACAGTCGGCGGACAATAGGCAGACAGTCGGCCGACTTAGTGGAGACATCGCTGGATACAAATGGCAACACTACGGAGACAGTCGGCCGACAATGTTTCCGCAGACAAATCGCCATGTGTGTGGACGAGGCTTAAAGTGACTGAAAGCAACTTTCTGGTTGCCTTAAAATGTGTGTTATCATTCTTGATCATGGTATACACTTAAATTGTTTTTGTATTGATCTAAAATTGGTTCAACAATAATTAGAATGCTAATGTCATCAGCATAACCTTTGGCATTAAAACCTTCACACATAATTTTAACGAAGTACATGAACCACTAGGTACAAATCACTTTCAATTTCTCACTGATAGTAGCTCATCTAAAATCTGGAAACCCAGTAAATTCATTAGAAGTAAAACACTCCAGTCCTGCTAAATAGACCATGGACTTTGTAAATTTGATACTGTTAAACAATTGCTTTGGTATTATTGATCCTTGATTACATAGGACAAGTTAAAAAACTGCTAGCCAGCAAATTAAAAAGTAGGCTTGTAAACAAGTACAACATACAGCACGATTTAATATGGATTAACTATTAACATCTCTTGTTACTAACCAACTGACCAACACTATCAAAATGAGTACCTACACCCTACACTTGGATAGTTTTACGACAATCTAGCTCAAAATCCGGTGAGTGGCATGTAAAGTTGCTGGTAGTGTAAACTTTAAAGCGTTATGACTCTTTAGAACTATTATCCTAAATTTTTATTATTATCAATCATTGAGATGGGGACACCACCTAGGTGTGTATTTTAACCCAAATATGAGTGAAGGATGAATGTAGAATGGTGTGAGATGATCTGCCTAGCTTTGTTACTGACTGCTGTTTGATTAGCCAGGATCATTTATTTAAAGCCCAATGATCAGGAACAGCTGGGTCCAGTGTCGAACTATCAAAAAGCTACTGACTTTTCTCAGGTTCGAACCAGCGACCTTTTGATTATTAGGCGAGCACTATAACCACTCAGCTACCAAGCCAGTAAATGTAACAACAATAAGAACTATGAGGGAATACATTCACTAAACTGTGACAATTATGAATATATAAAACATTGACAATTTAACCTATTGGCACATCAGAGGAGACTGTAAATCCACCCCAGAGGTCCTCCAAGCAGTTATGTATTATTGGGAAAGCATTGCTCAACCTCAGGTAGGATTCAACCAGAACGTCTTTCTTCTTATGTCTCAAGTATTCAACAACGTTAGGAAGGAAATTATGATCTAATGTTTCCATTAAGTCAATATCATGATGTCTCTAAACTAAGTTGTAACTAATGACCTGCCAACTCAAAAAAAGTCTTGTATTTATAAATAGTCTTGTAAATTTTTCAGAATCTTTGTTTGATTTAAAGTTACTCAAGGACTACCTTTCTGATCATGATAAAAATAATTTGAGTGACCCAAGTGTACTAGCCACAAAACTGGCCAAATTCTGCCAACTAATAGCTAAGAAAAAGCATTTTGTATTTTAGAATTTCCTCGTACTAACGCTATTGTTAGTGTTCAGCGGAACTTTCAGACCAAATTTAGGAGGGATTCTCCTAATCGGAACTGCATTGATCGTTGATAAGGCAATTCAAGACAACTTGATGTTTTGTGACAGGAAGAGTTTGGCCTGTTAATTGTCAGACTCCGCCAGATGCTGTGGAGAGAATCGAAGCTAATCATTGCCACGGACTGAGGTACATATACATTTTAATCTTACACATTGACTGGCTGTCACTTGATTAACAATACACGCAGACGACGGGCAAAAACCTGTTAAACAGTGATCGTTGACTTTGTAATACTCTGCAATCTTGTTTGTAAATAATATATTATTGTTTTTTTATATCTTTTATATCCTTTTGTATTGTCGCATATTTGCGATACCCGGTCTACAACTAA